GGTTCTTTAGATTATTCAAATGTGAATGTAAACTGTTCACTGAAAGGTTCTTTTGGGAACCCAAAATGATTCTCCTATGGAACTGCTGAGTAAACCCCCTTTCGGAACCTTTATTTTTAAGAGTGTACTTTGATGTATACTTTGATACTGAATGATTGCCATAAAGGTGTGGTCACACAAGGTCAAATAAGGTGTATTGTCTATTGCTAATAATGTAGCAATGGACTGTATGAAGCACAGCGCACAAAAGTCACCAAACCAAGAAGCTTTTTGTTGGTCAGTGTGACGAACTTGCATGACCAACTGAACATAATTTGAAAGCTGTGTACGGAAATCTTTCAGCCTCATGCGAAATTCCCATTCGTTTAGATTCCTATTGAAACTTCACCTTTGAAAATGGTAATTGTGACTGCACCTTAATACTCACCAAGCATTGAGAGCAAAGGGAATGATGGAGGGGGAGCGGAAACAAATTTACTCACTCAAACTCGTATCATCTGCACAAACTCCACTGCAAAATGTGTGCGACGTAGCATGTATGCTTAACTCAGAGCCACAACTCGACAAGTCCAGCACTTTTGTGTTTTTCCTGTAACTTTGCATTTAAATCAGTGTGTAAACTTGTGCGGGCCTTTCCAACTTTCCCTGTAGACACGTCAGGGGTCATCAGGTTTCAAACATCTGGGACTTTACTGTTGAGGTTTGTTGCTAGCTCTCGCACAGTCACGCTTAGTGACCTATGTTTGTTCCCCCCCACCCAGTGGGCCGTTCTGCTTCATGCATGCTGACAGGCTGATTTATTTGCACTCTGACCAGGGGACGGTTGGGGAATAGGGGGAAGCACTCAGGCTAACACCTTCTTGTGCCCCACTCTTAACTGACTCTCTTCTGACATCAACTATCTCTTAGATTCTATCCGTGAGCACTGCAGCCTGCAGACGAGATGCACTCACTCAATTTGTCACTTTCCAGACAAAAATGCAATAAACAATACCTATATTTTGACAGGAATGTTTCCAACAAGAAGTGCTGAGGTGTCTGAAATAATGATTTAATGTCCACAAAGAGAGGAGGCAGTGACTCTGTTCCATGAGCTAGTCATCTGCCTTCGTACTGTATGTTGAAACCTTAATGGAACCTCATAAAGACCGATTTGAAATGTTCTACATATCAAATAACCCTTTGTGCCATACTAATGCTCCTAATGTGTGGTGCACAGAAACCTTGACCTGAACTTGATTCCGACAGTGTTTGCTACTATAATGCAACACTCGTATGCATTAAAAACACTGCACCCACAAAATTGGAGAAAATCAGTTTGGTTGAACTGTTTTTTTTTTTTTTTTAATTATTATTATTGATATTTGTATTAAAATAATTACAAGTACATTTATAATTCATATTTATATCACTTTGTTTATTTTTTATTAATACTGTGAATTAACATGTATTTTCAGTTTTTATTTTATTTTTTTATTTTTTCATGGAATTATCATTTTTATTAGGTTTGTTTTCATTCTGTTTAACTTTACTTTTATTTCAGTTTTAATTTTAGTAACTGAAATTTACACTTATTTCAGTTAGTTGCCAAGGTTACAGAATTGTTCATTTCATATTTCTATTTTACTTAAGGTTTATTTCAATTGACACAATTCAATTGACACAATTGAGTATTCATTTTAGTTTTTAATTAACATTAACGATACTTTTCTGGTATTGCCTTCTCCTCAATGGGTACATGTTATGCTGCTTTTGAATATTCCAAAACATAGCTAATATAGGCAGTTTACGTTTTGAAACAAACATGTTTGGAACATTCATTAATTCATTCATTCATCTTCTTCTTCTATGTATCGAATATGTAGTATTTCCTTCATTTTATTTATTATTTTATTTATTTAATTAAAGAAATATTCAAGGGTAAGGCTGATACTCTGAATGTGGCTGTCCAAATGAAACACTCATAAATCAATAGTTCTTTACTAAAGGTCTAACTAGACAACACATAATGGTCAGTCAGAGAGACTACACGGTTATGATGCCGTCTCTTTCTCTGAAATAATCGAACATGCAATGCACACGCACACACACTCTTATCTCAACCTAGCATGAAACTCATGAATATTATTTTGACATCCTTGGCTACCTAACAGGGGCCTTTTCTTTGAGAAAATAAAAAGGATTCACAAAGGAGGAGTGGTTCTTTAGATAATTGCAATAAGTATTTTTGGCCGGACATTGTGTCTTGGCTGGGATCCAGCTCTGAGAATTGAGTGCTGGAGCATCGGCCAGTTCTGGCTGCCGTCCAGGAGCTGCTGCTGGTTTGACAGTGTGTTCAGACCATGAAGGACTAGTGAGCACCAAGGGAAGCAACAGCCCAACTACATGACAGGATATCATTTCCTGCAAACGCTGTGAGTCTTACACTGCCATCCTGGTGTATAAAACAACCCCCTACCTCCCCATCCGGTCTTTTGTGCTGCTGTCTCATGCCCCTTTTTCTACCGACAAGGTGGTGGAACTGGTGCCCACTTCCATTTAGGCCTGACTCCACCCCTAAATTGCAAGGTGGACCTGGCAGTGGGAAACCATGGGTATGGACGAAAAAAAAACAAAAATTACAAAAGCTGTCCCTAGGGAGGTATTTTTCAAAAGGTACAAATATGTATAATTTTGTTATTAATATGTACACTTTAGGTAATAAAATGTGCCTTCTGGGTACTAATACACTCCCGTCAGGACTAAATATGGAACAAAGGTGTACTTTTTGAATGGGTACTTCAGTACTTTTTAAGAGAACGACTCATTAAGGTGGGATCATGTCAGTGGAAAAGGGTCTTTCTTCTCTCATATTAGGGTGGGAATTTTAGGCATCACATGAATCAGAGAGTTCCATTCAATTCAGTTCCAAAACACAAGCTTCCAAGCATGTGGTACATTGTGTCTCTCGAATGGGATCTGTAAACACATATGTGTTGCCTCTATGCTGCATTAAAAATAATTATTAATAATTATGATTTGATTAATTTTTGTGAATTAATCAAGAATCATCTGAGAAAGAATCTTGATGCATCAATTAATCTTTTTTTTTTTTTTTTTCCCACGGGCACTTTGTGC